AGCTTCTTATAAATATAGAATATATTACAATCAGTTACGTTTGCTCTTATGTATTGTCTGTGATGGTAGAAGTACCTTGCATCTCGTTAATGCGAATGTTTATCTATTATCGGAATAATAGGACGCATAGGAAAGTATTGTAATTTTGCATATAAATTATCTCATATAGCATAAAGTGAAGCTAGGTGTATTTTAGCAATATTTTATTGGAAGATTGCAAATACATTGCAATATTTCTCCAAAATTGCTGCGACACTAAAAATGCGACCTAAAAAAACTGAGATATAAAATTATAACATTGCAATGTATAATATGTTTAAAATCAATCAATGCTATTACTATTTAATAACGTTACACGCACAATATTTTTGCCTTCAATAAAGAAACATATGAAGACATACAAAATAAATAAAATATTTATATAAACAGAAATTTGTAATTATTTCATGGTCAAGATACAGGTTTATAGTTATATATGCCCATAATTATATCAAGAAATGCGGTAGCCTCGTGCCAAAAGTGCATGCGCCAGTGTACGAGCGCGAGACATCCGATTACGTGTCTTTATACAAGTTGACGAGTTGAGCAATTATCAGATCTCACAATCAATAACTAAACCAATCGATTTCTTACCAGGCTTAATCAATTATACGAAACGTTAATATAAGAAATGTGTCTCTTAATTTTTTTGATCCATTTTTTACGAACAGAGATATTATGATGTATTATCTCTATATATCAAAATTGGATAATTTACTTTTAAGTTTTTCCAGAACAAATAATGTGAACTGCAATATCGATCATATAGCCGAGCTTTGTGCCATAATACATTGTCTAGAAGCAACAAAACTTATTTTTAACGATATTGCTGACTCTTTGACATCACAGAACAAGATATTGTAAAATACCTTCAGATAGTCATGAATATTTTCGATTCGAGTCCTGATAAAGTTTCGCGTGCTGAAGATAGCACTAGGGAAACAATGACGGCAATCAACATAGTGCTTCCGCATGTGATACCGTTTCAATTAATGCGGAAATATACATTACATTTACGATAATGTCTTAAACAAAGTAATATAATAGCATGAATCGGCAAAACACTATCTGATTGGCAATAAAATAATCAAATTCATTGTTTTTCTGGAACAAATTTATTACAGAAAATGGCAAAGATATTACGGAATATATAAAAACTATACAAATATTTTTGCTAATATACTCCAAATGATCCAAAGAATAGCAGAGATGAATACAGTTTTGAACGCATGATGAATCAAGTAAAATCTGAAATTTCATTTTTAAACAAAAATTAAACCTTAGTTAAAATAAAATTAATTGAGAATTGTTAAAAATCTGATACCTTTTATATCTAATACGATTGATTTTTAAAGTACCGTCATCCTCTTTGAGTATATAGAGTCGCATGCCCTTGTAATGATTAACGAGATACTTTGTCCAGTCGATTTCTTTCATCTGAAATTTAAACAATTGGTGATCTTTCTCACTCAGGCGGTTCCACATTGTTAGAATATTATGATGGGAATAATCCAAATGCTTCAGAAGAAAGGGTGCTATTGCATCGGAATATTTGTGGATCTTCCTATATAATTTCCACATTCTAAAAAAAAGCATGAATTTATGAATTATTAAATATGCGTTGTTACATATTTTTACAGAAAAATACTCAAAAACTAATTAATAATTTTTAATATTAAAAGCACTAAATAACAGTACTTCAAATATTTGAAATAATTACTTCCTAGTATAAAATTGCTCATTGTTAAAATGAATTTTTTTAAGAGTAACAGATAGGTCTTTACAATACCTCGGACGACGGTTCATGCAGATATTTACGGCGTCCATTAGAAACGCTGGGAGCAAATGACCAATCCAAATACAAATTTTATACAATACTTTTTGTCGTATAATTTTCAGAAGCGGCATCCATATTATTTCTTTTACAGGATACAATTTATTTAAAGAAATCATTTTATTAATATATTCGTTCCAAGTCGGAGCGTCGATTGACACAAAGTTATAAATTAACATAGTCTCTTCTTTCCTGAAAAATAAATTTGTCTATATTTATCTAAGCTGCAAAATATAATGCTTTATCGTATATTAAAATGTTACTGAGTATTTGCACGACAATATTTTATATAATACGTTCTCATATTACGAATTTTAAAATTAATTATTTACATTTTACAGATATCATTACATTACATGATTTGTTCAATTCATGAACATTTTTAATTATGTAAAAAAATTATTTAGAGATTATATAAATTTATGCTGATCATACTTCCATTGGTTAAAGACATCCCACGCACTGGCAATTAAAGCATTTGCAGTGAAATCGACGGGCACCATATTCGTCTTCAAATTACCATTTCCTAATAGAAATCTCTGTAAACCGAGTGCCACAGGTGTTAAAAATCCCATTGGCCCATAAATATTATCGACCCATCCGACGAGCGGTTCATTAGCGCTAGATATAACTATGAATGAAATATTTAAATTATTATTTCTTCCATATTTGCAAAAATTTTTGAAAACGTTGTTAATCGTCTGTGACTATAGGTTTTTATATTCTTTCTTATTTCTGTCACTATTTTATTTTAGTAATTAATTTAATTTTAGTAATATTGTATTTATTATTAGATCGAGGTTAATCTAATATGTAATATTGTGGAATAATTTTATGGATATCATAGTATCGCAGAGTAAACAATTTTGCAAGCAATTATTAGAAACTATAACAACAATAATTTCAATGGGGTCGCATAATGTATACTACAAACAAATATAGAAAAGTGTTACGGTCGAGGCGTAAAGTTTAATGCCCCATAATACTTTTAATTTTTATTTTTAAATTTTTAAGTTATAGAAATTATAAATAAATGCGACTCAAAATTCTTTAGCCAAAAATCTGCTAATTTTTATGATTAATCAACTGTTTACTTATGGCAGGTCGAAATATTCCTATTGGTAAACCTCTGCCTTCCTCTCTTAGAAGCGCTTCTGCAATCGCTTTCGTAAATGTATATGTATTTGGCCATTGTGAGGCAATCCTGCGAAAATAGTAGTTTAATTTTATACATAATTATAATATAAATTACTTTATTCTACAGAGAACAAAAATAAATACGTACTTGGTTACCTTCTCCTCCATTTCGTTTTCGGATAAAGTATGTGTAAATGTAATGAGATCTTTGTGATTAATAGGATATGTATAGAAACGTTCGTCGATATATTTCACGTGGAAATTCGAATATATGGTTGACACGTAAATAAATGACTATAAAATAAATATCAGTATTTGTTTAACATCTTTGTTTATTATTATTATTTTTTTAAGCGAGTAAGTGCATAAAAATCAGTGAGCTCTATATGTACTAAAGAGAGCTTTCCCTACGCTTACATCTGGTAGGGAGGTGGCTGACTTTGAAAAGTGACAGTTATGCGAGGTGAGGGACATCAATTTCACTTTAATATATAATATATAATATAATTATCAATCAATATATATATATATATATATATATATT